TTAAGCCGGGACACCTTTAACAACAGGTGGACCTAATGGGACCTGGCAGGCAGAAGGGGAGACATATGCTGCCGGTACGTGTTAATGAATTGAGAGGTGGTAGATGTGGTGTGTCTGCATACGTGTATGTGAACTTGCTTTATGTTAAGGGCGTCGATGTTGTAGCATAGGTTCGATCTTTTGTTGTGACGTTTTGTGGTCAGGCTATTGTGTGGTCAGGCTATTTGTGTGGTTAAGTTATTTGTGTGGTCAGGCTATGTGTGTGGTCAGGCTATTGTGTGATCAGACTATTTGTGTGGTCAAGCTATTTGTGTGATCAGACTATTTGTGTGCTCAAGTTATTTGTGTGGTCAGGCTATTTGTGTTGTCAAGTTATTTGTGTGGTCAGGCTATTGTGTGGTCAGGCTATTGTGTGGTCAGGCTATTTGTGTGGTCAAGCTATTTGTGTGGTCAGGCTATTTGTGTAGTCAAGTTATTTGTGACGTCAAACTATTTGCGTGGTCAAGCTATTTGTGTGGTCAGGCTAAGTGTGTGGTTAAGCTATTTTTGCTGTCAAGCAATTTGTTTGGCTAAGTTATCTTTGTGGCCAAGATGTCTGTGTGGTCAAGCTATTCTGTGGCTAATCTATTCGTCTGGTCTAGCGATGTGTGTGTTGAAGCTATTAGCGCGATGAAGCTATTGGTGTGTCTACGTCAATCACGTGACACACCTTGGTGTGTCCAGCTCTTTCAACCAAACACAAAACCGTGTAGTCTTTAAAAACGTTCTAGTATTATTACACTCTCACACGCATACACCGACATACTTAAATACTTACACATACACGCACACATACACACCTATACCGACATACACACCGACACACAGAAACCTCGATATACCTATATGACCATATGCATATGACACGTCCCATAAAATTGACCCACTCAAACACATGTGTAAAAATCAATACACACTATTTTATGGCCGTTGAACAAAAACCGATACGTTACGTCATTCAAACAGTGAGAAAAGGTAAAAAAATATAAAAGGTTGTTAGGTAACAATGGGTTACGGGCGGGGAGGGTTGAACATCTTACCTAATGTTTGTAGCTTCTCTGTCAACTTTACTTACAAAGGTTTCTCATTTACTAACACCGCTTGTTTCTTTTTTAGAGCTAGTTTAAGTAAGGTAGATTGAGACAGATGCACTGTGTGTCGCTATGAAAGAGATGAACAATGAATCACGTTAATGCAGACCGACACAATAGGAGTTTCTTTCAGGTAACTCTTTGGCGAGGGGGGGGGGCATAAGAGCTACCCCCCTCCCCTCCACCAAACAACACACGCCAGGAGCAAACCCCCTCCCCTCTCCTCCCTCCCCAGACGAACATACCTGTTGCCACCAATTGGCTTATTACTATTGTACGTAGATAATCCTAATCGGCTTAAGCGATTAAATGATTAAATAGAGGAAGAGCTGAAGAGTTGCCTAAAATATCTTCCTGGATTAGTGCAAATAGTTTTGAAGTTTAACATTTCAATAAATCAACTTTCATAAATTTATGCTGATTAGGCTCCCCCCCCCCTCCCCATCCCAACATTCAATGTCCTCATCTCCAACCTTGTTCAATAAAGTCTACACTGGTATAATAATTGCTCATTATTCAGCTAAACACACGTGTTTCTCATTAATGTCATTAACACACGTCACTCACACATCAGTGTATACATCACTCACGCACAGATAGTGAGTCCCACACCACACATCTCTCAATTCACTCACACGACCCCCAACTGTGTCTATTGTTTTTTGTTGTTTTTTTTACAAAATAGACAATTCATATACGTGCAGCGTATGTACACACCACCGTGTGTGTCACTGTTGTGTGTGTGCTGGTTCACATCAGTGTTTGTATGTGTACAAAGTTGAGCCAATATTTAGATAGTGCATGTAGGCATTTTTTTAAACACGTTTCCAGTCACTTTAAAAAAAAATGCGAGTTGTTGAATAAATATCGAGTTGTAAATAAAACACGTTTATATATTGACATTAGAAAGCTTGAGCTTTATTTATTGATTTGAAAAGAGTAGATAACCCTCTTACACCCCCTCCACTCACTTTTTTGAGATAAGCTCACGCCGCCCCCCCCCCCTCCCCTCCTCCCGCACAAGGCAATATTGGTGCGTGTTTTTTTTTTTAAATAAAGTAAAGGGGTCTTCACATATTTTTCGATCGAAACTCTAGGTTAAATTAACAATTAATGGTTGAAATATGAACGAACAGACAGTGTTTAATCTAAACCGTTGTTGCTGGTTTGCTATGTATTGTGAACAAGCATTGCAACTGGAAAATTCAAAGAATGATGAGAATCTGGCGTACATACATTACAACAACAAAAAACACTTACTAAATACCTAATGAATTTACCCTCGTACACTTTTTAAAAATATAAAATGTTAATTAAGTTAATAATTTACAAAGACAAATTTAGCTTGCTTAAGATAAGAATTTCGAAATATTCCCGATATTCTAACAACATCCCAGCACTGTTCAGGAATACAACGGGAATTTTAAAAAAGCGATGATTTTGTTTCCATCGGAGAGTGGTCTAGGGACTGGCCATCTGGACACCAGGATGGCTGCCAATATTATTAAAAATAAAATAATTGACTGTAAGGTTTGAGTGATATACATTACAAGAGTAAATATAAAGGTTTTGCTACGAAACTATGGTTGGCGATATTTGCCATCCAATACCCTAGCTATATTACCTAACTGTTAAATTTAATGAACGATACACATATACAACATTCTTCTCCATTCTTAATTGTAATGCTGGATGGGATTTTATCCAATATAATTAAGTATTATGTGTAAATTTGTTATGCGGCATATACTTTGTTGCCTTTGATTTCAGCCTGCTTTTTTTCTGGATTTGCTTCAAGAGCATGTTCAAGAACAACCTATATGGAGGCATTTATTTGATTTTCGATTTTTCTCTCCTAGATGGGTGCCTGGGAATTCGAACTCGTGACTTTTCGGTTAATCAACTATGGGCATACCGACCCGACTGCGCCGACCCCTTTACCAATCTGAGAGTGTAGCAGCAGGTTGACATTGGATAAAATTAAACATATTTCCTTGACGATCACCTACTGCATATGTTAGATGATTCGGTTGTGGACAGCTTGAGTCAGAGGCGTAGCGACCCTTCCCGGCGCCCGGGGACATACTTTCAATTTGGCGCCCCCCTCGGAGCAAATGTTCGATTTGCACCCCCCCCTCAAACTTTTCATTTGCACCCCCCCCCTCAAACTTTCGATTTGCACCCCCCCCTCGACCTTTTCATTTGCACCCCCCCCCTCAAACTTTCAATTTGGCGCCCCCCCCCCTAAGGTCGGCGCCCGGTGACATATGTCCCCCCGCCCCCCCCCCCCCTCGCTACGCCTCTGGCTTGAGTAAAGGTTCACCAGATGAATTATGGGACAGCTCGAGTGAAAGTTCACCAGGTGAATAATGGGACAGCTTGAGTAAAGCTTCACTAGATGAACTACGGGACAGCTTGAGTAAAAGTTCACCAGATGAACTATGGGACAGCTTGAGTGAAGCTTCACCAGATGAACTATGGGATAGCTTGAGTGAAGGCTCGCCAAATGCACACTTGAACGACCAAACTTTAGACTGTAGATTATAGTGAGTGAGGAACTTACAAAATGCAATCTTGCTAAAATTGCGTGTTTGCTGCCATTTTTTATTATATAAATATTTTTTTTGGCCCAAATACAGAGATCTGTTAAACGCTTTAAAACTCGAATTGATTATATCACCTACCAAAGTACCTATTAAGAGATCACCCTCGAAAATCGATACTACAATAACCGCCCCTACACATTATAGCTTTTATGCTTATGTCAAAAGAAACCAACGTTTTGGTGAAATAATAATTAACTACTAAAGACAGCTATTTCTGTTCGCAATATTCTGGCTTAAAATGTGCATTTCTTCAATTCAAAATAGGCCTACTAGTCCATCTTCATCTACAGGGGGCTTAACTAATTCGTTTAGTGATTTCCTTATTTTGGCTTTTAAAAGTCGTACCTGCAGTTGTTAGATTTTGTTCTTCAGATCAGAGGCGTAGAGACCCCTCCCGGCGCCCGGGGACAAACTTTCAATTTGGCGTCCCTCCCCATATATTTTTTGTTTATAATTCAAAACTGCAGCTAGAATGAGCTTTTAATTTTTTTTTCAAACCCATTTTGGCGCCTCAATGGTCGGCGCCCGGGGATATATGTACTCCCCCCCCCCCCTTTCGCTACGCTTCAGATCTTTAGCATGGTATATAGCCAGAGAATTGGCAAGCAGAAAACTAGAGATGATATTTGCAGCAGCCTGCTGAAAACGTTGTGAAATCCAGTCACATCTGGGCAAGTGCTTCAACAATGATAGTAGTCATGTGATACTGATGTACTGATCTAACAGGAGTCTTACTGGCAGTAGATCTGTGTCAAAGTAATGATAAATTATATTGTCATGTAGGTCTACTTGTAAGAAAGAAGAAAGCAATAAAACTTTCAATTCAACGATACTATTTCAGCAGGGTTTCTTTCATACATATGTCTCAATGGGTAGAGGCGTTTTAACTTCAAGGGGGGGGGGGGGTTAAAGTAAATATTTTCTAATTACATTTAATATTGTTTCTATTTTGTACTGCCCCCCCCCCCCCCTTCCCCATGAGAAGACTGAAAAAATAACACTGCTAATAGAGTTATCTGGTATATATAAGTCCATATGTTCCTTTGAATTCAAATATTCATTTTTTTTTTTACCCCATAATAATTATTTTTTACCTTGCTTTATTTATTTTGTAAAAAAAAATATTAAAATACATTAATCCGAAGTTAATTCCTCACTCCCAAACATGAACTCTTTTTTATGTGAGATGAGCTAGTGATAACTATTCTTCGTTCAGTGCATCAGAATGGGATGGATATCATTCATTATCAACTCAAGGCATAACTAAACAGGACTGATCATTGATCATGGTCTAACATTTAAAGTGTTCAGTGTGAACATAGCTTCATCCTGAGCATGCGCAACAACGGGCGAAGCTCCGAACAACCATTTCCGCGTCTATGAATGGGTTCGAGATTTATTTTGCCGTGTGCGAGAGTGTGTACTACAGTGACTCGTCGGCTATCGACGACAGTTCAGCACTTGAAGTCGAAGAATAGCGCATTAAAAATAAAAACAATGGAATTTTTCACAGAAGAAAGGGGGACACCCAACACGGGGAATTATCGTGTGTTTTTTAGTAAGTGATTTTCATGTTTAATTCAACTAGATCTAGATTCTAGTATCGAAAATTTGAAAATAACTTCGGTACCGGCTGGCTTATCTTCTCGTCGGTAGTCAACGTAACACTCACTACGTAACTTGCCATTCACTAACAGTAGCGAAACTCTAGCCTAAGCTATAAGTTAAATCTTAATCTACATGTCAGTGATTGATTTAACTAGTCATTCCATCTTTCATTTTGCTGCCCTTTGAGAGTCCTAAGGTTAAACTTTTAAACATGTTTAAACTTTCAACGAATCTCAAAGCCGCATTTGTCATGTTAAAATAAATAGCAGCACGGCCTATTTCTCGGATGACTGACACTAGGGTCACTAGGCCTGTACTCGACTCTAGTTTAGTCACAGTGAAAAGAATCTCTGTATCTGCAATGTATAGATATCTAGATTAAGTACACAAGATATTAGTATTATCAAATGTTTAATGCAAAATGTAGAAATTCTAGACAAAAACCTAGCAAAAAATGAATCTAAAATACGCGAATAGGCCTAAGAGGTCTTATGCATAGATTATTTATTTAGATTTTAGATGTTCATTAAGTGTAATAGTGTATTTTTAGTGTAACATAACTGACCACTGTTTTTATATTAGCCTATAGGCCTAGTAACTTGTTACAGAAATATGACTACATTACAGTCTAGAATCTAGATCTGGTGAAGATCTGAATAGGTATCATTCACTTAAAGGGCAATAAAGGCAGTTCAATACAATATCTAGATCTATCAAGGCCTATTCAGTGTTTCTTCCAGGTATCTCTTTTCTGGATTGGGGGGGGGGGGGGGGGGAACAGTCTACCACCCCTACAGAACAAAATGGAATTTATATAGAAAGTATGTACTTTAAATAATGTCCGCCACCCCCCAGAGAAAAAAGTCTGGAAGAAACACTGGGCCTATTCTATAGTAGGCCTATGGCCTATATGATGTATGACATAGGTAGGCCAAATTGGTAAGTATTAGGCCAATGTCCTACATCTATGAAGTCTTGCATGTTATGAATGTTATAGAGCAGTTGTGCTTAACCTGAGGGACGACGGAACTATTAAGGGTTTGGTGAATGCATACATAAAGCTACTGGAGTTTGGTACCTCCAAAAAGGTTAAGAACCACTGTTAGACTATAGTCTATAACAATAATAGTAATTATTCAATATAGGCCTACTACATGAATGTCATGTAAACAGTTTAAAATAACTATAGTTGGCATTCTTTAGACTGTAGTTTTTAAGTTAAGTCTCGTTTCGCTGTTACTTGTTTTCAGTTTTAAAGCAGAATGACTAGACATGATGCTACAAACATGCTTGTTGATTGATGAAGAGATACATACCCTAAGATTAGCTAAATTATATCTTTAAGTTCCTTGCCTAAAATTTAATTTTCTAAAACAGAAAATGCAGATGGGATTCCAATCTCTCCATTTCATGACATTCCTCTGTATGCAGATGCAAATAATAAGCATTTCAATATGGTTGTTGAGATTCCACGATGGACAAATGCCAAAATGGAGGTAATGATCAATGAGGTTTTAACAAAATACCATTAGTTAGGCTATTATTTCAGAAAATATAATTTTATGCTCTGAATACTAAGCAGAATTCCTGAATATTGTTTACAGCTGTAAGGTAAAAGAAAAGATGTGGTTTGAAAAATGTACTTGTTTTTCTGGTTGAAAATGGTTTGTCTCAATTGCATACTTAATACTTTAGTTCTGTCAGTATCTATCCTTTTATGACTTTTTTTTAGTAGAACTGGGGGGTAGAACTAAAGTAAATCTAGTAAGTCAATTAGATCTACCACCTTTTATAAAAAGGCATAGTAATAATGAAATCAGTTTGTAGGATTCTTTACTACCTACTTCATTGTAGATATATTAGGCTTAATATATCCACTATCAGACTTAAAATTTGTTCCGTTTATTATTGATCTGGTTCGGTTCAGATTTACTGTTAGGTGTGATAGGCCCTTAACTTTGGTGCTTTTTTTTATCCGGTACTGTTAGCCTACCTATGTTCCAACTTGTTGAAAACTGGTTTCCTTTACGTGACTATTTTAACAATACTTTTTTAAAAGATCGTCAATAAAGTTTTTGATTTGGATCTAGTTTGTCACATTAAGTGTATTACAAGGTTTTTTTTTAATAAGCCTATAGCCCAAATTAGATTTAGTTGCTCCTAGTTTCCATTCTGCGTATCAGCCTTGAGATACCTATTTACTGCCGTCATGGTCGCATTATCGTTTGGTTTTAATTATCAACCATGTACCGGGCCATAGTTTGCTGAATGTGTAGATCTAATTGCCGATAAGGTTTTTTTTTTTTTTACCTAAAAACGTGTTAGGCTGTTGAATTTTTAAAAAATAAACTTGTTTATTTTAAGCGAATCGCCGATAAGGATTTAGCCTTTATGCAAACAGTTGCTAGGCTATGTGAGGACGGTGTCAGGGTCAGTGTTGACCTCGATGACCCTGTCGTCCCTCTCGACGCGTATGGTACAGACTACAGGGGGGGGGGCGGTAGGTTAGGCCGACACATCAAGCCACGTGTGCTGTTGGTTTACCGTTTACTTTTTTCTTGTTTTGTAGACCCCGGGTTGGGGCATTTACAAATGTGGTTATAAGTTGGCTAAATTGTTTGTTTTTTTTTAAATAAGGGTTTCGTTAGAAAGATTGCTGGGGTTTCGTTGGGAAGATTTAAGTTAGAACACTCTGGGGATGATTGATACTGATGTCCGATAATAGACTCTTCCTAAAATAGGTGTGTAAGGTAGTTGGTACTATTTTAATCTGGACTAGTTTTATGGTTACAAATTATTAGGGTTAGGTGTATGTTGGGACTAGGGTTATGGATATGGTTATTGACATTAACAAGCCATGTGCGTATTCATTTAACTACCAGTTACCTAACACCCATTTTTTAAAAAGATTCTATTATCGGACAATGATATTTTTTTTAACACCCTCCCCCTCCCCATCTTTGTGAAGTGTATCCTAGCATTACTAATAGAAAAATTATTTTTAAAATTTCTCAACAGATCTGTAAAGAAGAGCTACTGAACCCTATAAAACAGGATGTAAAGAATAACAATTTAAGGTTCGTGAAGAATATCTTTCCTCACCATGGCTATATCTGGAACTATGGAGCTTTACCTCAGGTGCATTTCTTTTTAGTACCTTTAAAATTTTAAACTAACTATATATAGAGAGCAGAATAGTTTGACATTGCCTGCAGTTTATCTAACATTGGAGTTTAATATAAATAACTTTTATAAGTTCATAGTAATTTTTCTTAAATGATTGGGCTGAACAGTAATGACTTAGTGAAAATCAATGCTCTACTAAATGAGGTAACTGAATGCCAAAGCAACCAGCAGATGGAAGAAATCAATAACACAACAAACAAGGGTATGCCGCAAATCAGGCTATTGATCACAGATTTCCAGATCCTGATTTTGTAGTTAAAAGCTTTAATTTGCTGCTGTTGTGTTGAAGCACTTGAACTTTGATTCCTCGTTTCTAGCTTAACCAAAAATATCTGAACTTTTTTTTCCCCAGACTTATGAAGACCCTAATCATATCACACCAGACACTGGAGCTAAGGGGGACAGTGATCCCATTGATGTTTGTGAGATAGGTCACAAGGTACTGGATTCTTAAAAATGGCTGTAGTTTGTCTGTAGATTGATGGCACCAAATCTTTTAACTTGAAGGTAGAGTGTAAAAGAAACTGAGGCTGTTACAGCACATCCAACAAATTGACCTTATGCTGTTTTAACCCATATTATCCCAAGGTCTCAAATTTTTATAATTTTTTGATATGGTTTAGCTTTTGGGCACTGAATGAAGGAATGACTATGGATTTTTTTTTTTAATCAATACTTTTTTAAATATCGATTTTTTAAAAAACGTCCCATTAATGGGACGCTAGCAACGAACGGCCCCATGTACATTTATTGAAAAATAAAATCATTTATCACGAAATATGGCTAATCACGCAAAAATTAAGCTGTATTCTGATTTTGTATTGTTAGACCAATGATTAAATTGTTTAGGACAGCAAAAAATACTGATAATGATCAATTGGGTTAGCCATACCATGGTCTAAAATGCAGAAATTATGTTCAAAAGTCTAGTTTTCTTTCAATCTAGCATCCATCAAAGTGAACAACACTTGGAAATAAGTAAAGCTGTGACTAGTACATCTAATTATACACACATGATCACAAGTATTGTTATTATTCATCGAAACTGTAATATAATTAAATATAAATAATTGATTTTTTGGGGGCGTACTTGAAATTTTCAGGTGGGGGGTACTTAAATTTCAGGGGAAGGGTGGACATTGGTAAAAGTATGTTTTGTATATAAATTCCTATTTGTTCTGGGGGCAGAGCCCCCCCCCCCCCCCCTCCTCCGAAATGATGCCTGAAAGAAACTCTGCCCTCAGTGAATTTGCAAAAGACGATACGGTCCAGTCCCAGATGTCATCCAGCCATCTTCTTTTTTGTTACCCTCGCTATCCCCCCCGCCCCTCACAGGCGTACATTAGGACATCAGATATCTTATTTCTAGGGCAAGGATCCGTCTATGGGGGCTTGTGTTGAGTGTTCATGGCTCTCATCCATGTATGCAACTCACTATGCGAACAGCTCCCAATCTAACACCAGGAATCTCCTTTAAAAGTTAACAAAGTAAAACTGGTATAAGGAACCTTTGGGGGGGGGGGGGGGGGGGGGGGGGAATTACTGGGGCATGACAACTGTACACAGCTAATTCACATTTCTGCTATATGTAGCTTGAGCTCTCTTACTTATATGAAGAGAGTTAGCCAACCCCCATGACTCAATCGTTTCACCAGAATCGTGACCATTGTTATTATACTGGTTTGTTATAATTTTAATATCGTGCGCTAGTACATTTACAGCAGTACTAAATTAGTTTGTATTCAATGGTAGTAAATACTTCAGTAAGTGTAATTCTGAAAAATTACAAATAAAATGTAAGTTTTTCAATATTTGCAATTTTTTATACAATAATATATAAGTATATATAAGTCAAGGTCATAATTAAATATCTATAAATACTACTTAACACCCCAAAGTCAACAATTAACAAAGTCAACAATTGTTTCACCATAAATAACCATTTAACATAAATATTTGCATCTGTGTTTCTCACTAGTGTCCAATAAATGTGACGTTTGTGTAACAATCTGCATACATATAGGTCAAGGTCATAATTAAATATCTATAAATACTACTTAACACCCCAAAGTCAGCAGTTATCAAAGTCAACAATTGTTTTACCATAAATAACCCTTTAACATAAACATTTGCATCTGTGTGTCTCGCTAGTGTCCAATAAATGGGACGTTTGTTTAACAATCTACATGGGGCCATTCGTTGCTAGCGTCCCACTTATGGGACGCTTGCTGTACACTTGATATAACGAAGTAGTAAAAAAAAAATTTTATTCTTAAATTTTTATCAGATAGAAATATGGTACTGCTACAAGTTTCAAATGTATTTTGCACTTAAAATGTTAATATTTTAGAAGATATGCAATTTTCTGTGCGCATGTTTTCTTTTTTCCGCCATTTTGACAAGTCCTGCAAATCCGGCACTATAACATTTTTCTAAATTAATTTTTTTCATAAAACACACACACATTCAATAGTCTAACCATTTTCAAATACAATGAAACATAATTTGTGTTTTAACTAGTTTTTAGTAAATTTTGGCAATTTTTTTTACAAGCGTCCCATAAGTGGGACGCTAGCAGAATATGGGTTAATATAATGTCTTGGGTTTGAATTTATTTGAACAAGATGCTACCATTATAGAGTAATTGAATGAATGGCGAACATTGCAGGTTACCTTGTTCTTAAGCCTGCGTTAATTTTTTTTTCTGAGAGATTCGTGTAAATAATTGTTGCCATTGCTAAATTAGTTGAGATAATGAAATGAACTTTTCCTATCTTTGGTTCACAAAACAACACCAGATGTCAGCAGCTTCAGAAGGGTCATCTTTATAAGTTGTTTACACTTTGTTTAAGAAAAGATCTGTCTGGAATTTTTTTTACAGTTACATATGAAAGTCTGGAATCTAAGTTTCAACAGACTAGTATGAACCTTGTATAGCCCTGACTTAAAGCCCAAGTTATCACTTTAGGTTTTAGTTAGACTATAATTATTCTTCAATTTTTATCACTCTCAATGGACTGTAAAAAGTTTGGGTGCTAACCTTAGTTAGCTCTCTTTACTAATGATACTTACATACCATCTTTTTTGGGTATTTGTGAACGAGCTAAAGTGTACAGAGTTACCCATCAATAATACACTGTATTATTAAAGCAATTTTTAAAATGGCTATTCATCTGTAGCCCTACAAGCCATCTGATTTGTATGTTCACCAAACAATATACCTTTTTTATATAAAATATAAAAACTGTCACTAGTAACTATGGGTACAGACTTAGTACTTAATTTAAAGCATTTTATAAAACTGTTAATGTATTGCTTTTTTTTTTGTACAGATTCACCCAAGAGGATCTGTTGTAAAGGTCAAAGTATTGGGGGTTATGTGTCTTATTGATGAAGGTGTGTATTAGCTATTAGCATTAATTGTAGAGGGACTGGGACATCCACAGAAATGTATGCTACAACCCTCTCCCCCACCAGTCTGTTCCATATGTAGAGGGACTGGGACATCCACAGAAATGTATTCTACAACCCTCTCCCCCACCAGTCTGTTCCATATGTAGAGGGACTGGGACTTCCACAGAAATGTATTCTACAACCCTCTCCCCCACCAGTCTGTTCCATATGTAGAGGGACTGGGACTTCCACAGAAATGTATTCTACAACCCTCTCCCCCACCAGTCTGTTCCATATGTAGAGGGACTGGGACATCCACAGAAATGTATTCTACAACCCTCTCCCCCACCAGTCTGTTCCATATGTAGAGGGACTGGGACATCCACAGAAATGTATTCTACAACCCTCTCCCCCACCAGTCTGTTCCATATGTAGAGGGACTGGGACATCCACAGAAATGTATTCTACAACCCTCTCCCCCACCAGTCTGTTCCATATGTAGAGGGACTGGGACATCCACAGAAATGTATTCTACAACCCTCTCCCCCACCAGTCTGTTCCAAAAGTGATCCCCTCATGAAGATGTCCACTAAAAATTTGTATGCAAGTTTATAATATACATTGAGCATGTGAGGTATTGCTCATTTACGTCAATTGTAGATGCAACATATGGGCTTCAAGAATGTAAAGCTTCTTTCCGCCAATGGGCTATAGAGTGAATAAAAACTGCTTATATATCCTCTTTCGGTAGATTTTTAAAATATGCTTATTTCATTAATCCAGATAAAATTCTTAATATATACATTGATATAAAATTTCTTTTCTTATCGCTAACCATAATTAGACTGAATGCGTCAAAAATTTATATTTTTGTCATTTGCATAAAACCGCTGTACTCAGTTTTGAAGCCTTCTTGATAGCTGCTGTGCACTCCTTTCTGCCACACAGACACCCAAACTAACCAAAAATATAGCGTTATATAAAATCAGTTGAACTTTTGCATTAAAAAATTCTAATAATGTTTGTCTATTAATAGAAGCTAAGTATAGATTGCCATTGACCCAAATAAACACTCAGTGCACAATCTACTTATTTTATCACTATACAGTGACTCAATGACAGGGTTGCTTAAATAAATATTCTGTTTGCAGGGTAGTTTTGTATTGTAATCTACAAGTACTTGGATGTTAAATTTGTTTTTGTCAGTGTTGACCAGAGCTAGTAGCCTTCTTCCAGTCCACAAAAGTTGACTCTTGTTAGACATCCTGGGCTGCTGTCCTGAGCTCCTTGGGCACTACTGTGGTGCCTGTCACTGCAATTTTATTTTTTATATAAAACTTTTTTTCATCTTAAAATGTCTAATAAATGCCTGTTTTTATTAAAGGTGAAACTGATTGGAAGATTTTGGCCATTGATGTTACAGACCCTCTTGCTTCATCATTAAATGGTAGGCTTTAAACTAGTTGGTATACAGTTATTCAGTCATACTTAACTTCAGTTAGGAATTTTAGCTCAAGCTTAACTAGTACATTGTTTTTGTGTCCCTTGCAATTGAAAGTTAAATGTTGTTTCAGATGTACCAGATATTGAGGCTAATTTTCCAGGTCTTCTGAGGGTATGTAGCTAAAACCAGTTAGCTCTCATTTGACTTAAGAGTTTAGCAAAACGTAAATTAATAAATGTATGTATGGCTTCTCTTCTGTGTGCTGATTTTTCTAATTAATATATTTATCTTTTTAGGCAACATATGAATGGTTTAAGTATTACAAGGTGCCTGATGGGAAACCTGAGAATCAGTTTGCTTTTAATGGAGAGGCTAAAAATAAAGTATGTAATATGAAGGTTTTATGAACATTAGTTTAAACATTGTTGGAGCTGGACTTTATTGAGTTATAGTTTTTGACTTTTAAAAAGTATGTCAGGGCAATTAAATTGAGATTGATGACAGAGTTCTGTCATAAGGGTGTTAACTGTGATTTTAAACATAATTAAAATCCTACATTTTGAACCTTTAATGTGATATGAAGTTCGGCAGCCTTGAGAAAACTCATATAACTTGTTTGTTGTTAAATGTACTGAGCTTTATGCCTTTTTAATACTGTGTTAGCTTTTTTTTTCACTTGTTTCCCATTTCACATTACTTAATAAACAAAAATTGTCTGCTAGTTTTTCCCATTCAAATGCATGCAGACATGCCTACCATCCTACCTCAAAATTGTAATTGTTCCGCATTTATGCAAAAAATTGTATCCTGTTCCGCTTTCAACAAAGTTTATTTCCACTTTTTCAAAAAAATAATGAAAATGTAGTATTATAACTGGGTTCTATGGTCCCACAGCTATGCAATGAGAGGATTGAACTACTTAATCCAATAGTATATTCAAATACCACTACCATTTTATTATATCTTGCCATTCAGTAGTTCATCTTGAAACTCGACATCAACACATACAAATGATTTGACAGGATGACATTATTTACTGTTTCTATATATTGCACTATAAGAAATAGACATCGGATGACTTGAACAAACGATACTAAGACTGGACAACCTCACCCTAACATAACACGAACGGGACTACTACTTGAAGTTTCTTTCCTGGCAACAACGCACTCACACTAAAACGTCACTTTCTTGCGTACCGCGTCACTCTTGCAATATTATAGCTTCGCACCAGCATTCATGCGCACCAATTTGCCTAGTGAAACATACATCATAACATGTAGAATAAATTAAAAAATGAATGAATTGAATTGAAAAAAAAAAAGCAGGGAAAGGTGATTATTTCCCTTTGCCATGATTCTGTTTGCTTGTTATTTATGTGGAAGTTAGCTGCTGAGCTCAGATTAGGCGTCTTTTAAAAATGAACACAATATTTTTGAAGTACTCAGAAATGTATGTTCTTTTTTGTTTGGCCGTTGTAGATTTAAATTATGCTTTAAATATAAAGTATAGAGGAAAGTATCATAAAATCCTGACTAACGCTCTAATTTGTAGATCTAGAATCTATCTAGATTATCTACTTACTAGGCCTATCTTATCATTAATCTATCTAATAAGCTTGGCCTTAAGTCTTGAAATTAAATAAAAAATGTCATGTACAAGTGTTGCATTTATGGTTTTACTGTGGGGTGGGGGTGTCTCGGGGTACCCTAGGTTTTTAAATTTTTTTTAAATGCTTATCTAAACTACGCAGTATTTAGATGATTTTACAGACCAGCTGTATAAAACTATAGGCCTATGTTTGTCATAAGAATTAATTTATTTTTGCTTAGCAAAGTAGCATTCGTTTGTTCTTCTCTTGGCTTCAAATTCCTCTTTTTTGGTAAGACGTTCTTACCCTTGGTAGCCAGGGGTATACATGTCTATGGAAGTGGCTTAGACAGCTGTTTTATATTGGAATTGTTTTCTGGATTTTTTTGTATTTAGTGTTTTGTGGTTGGTGGTAATTGTATTGCTACAAAATACAATGTTATATAATACTCAACACATAATCTTACCTTGTGCTGAAGTTTACCTAGCGTGTTGGATAAACTACACATTGCAAGTGTACAGCATTCATTGTGTAAATTATTTAAGCATCTAGGCAGATTTTGCAGAACAAAAAACTAAGTATACATTTTAAGAAATCGGTCCAATGACCCCCCCCCCCCCCCCCCCCCTACTGTCAGGATAAAGGCTTCTTTGACCATGCAATTCAACTAACTACACGTTTTTTCTAACTAATTTGAATTGTTTATGGACATTGATGTAATTGAATATAGGATCTATATTAAACTATTTCTATTAAATTTTAGGATTATGCTTTACGTGTGATTGAAGAAACACATGAGCAGTGGTCCACCTTGTTGAAATCATTAGATGATTCCAAAATTTGTAGGTAAGGAAAAAATTGTTTATAAACAAATGAAAAGGACAGTTAAGTTGTAGCACTATAATCTCCTTCAATACATTCAAGATGCAATGATTTGCAAATTCTATATTCCTGGTAGGTAAAACCTGGGCTGCCACTTTTATGTTATTTAGGATTTTTTTACTTTCTTGTATATACGAAGTATAGAGAGTCTTGTAATCTTGAAAAAAAAAAATCAAGATTTTTACAAATCTTGACATTTTACACCTCACTTATACGGGAAAAACATAATTTTGCAATCTTGTCCGTGTGTGTGTAAACACGATAACTTGATGGTACAACATAAACTGCAGCACTAGCTAAGGGTTTATCAACATTACCATGATGTCGTTAATTTCACAATTTTTTTTTTTTTTTGCAATAAACTTTGTTAATAAACACAAAATAGAAATAGAGATTTTTTTCGCTTCTTTTCTTAGTAAACTATTTATGATTTATATTGAATGACTACTCAATATTGGCAGTGCTAAAAAAAAGCTGGCGTACATCACTGTACAATTACATTAGTTCAGGCGTACTTAAAATGTATTTTTATTTAGATGTAACAAACTAGTAGTTCACTTTTATATTCCCATGCATATTTCTTCACAGACAAAATGTTACTGTTGAAAAATGTACACATTTAATTGATGCAGAAGATGCTAAAAGAACACTAAACAATGTAAGTATTCTATTTATAGATTTCAGTACTGACATTTTAATGAAATAACTGACTGTATTTGTGATTAGTTAACTTAAAATAACTTTCCCTTTTCAGGCCCCTGAATTAGTGGCAGGAACTGAAATGAAACAGGAACGTAAGTTTAACTATTTCATAAATCAACTGAAATGCTTTGCGCATTATTGTGAACAATACAGAATATCTCGGATGTCTCCCTCCCACAAAGCAACATTTTATTTATAAAGTACACACAAAATAGAAATTGCTGGCATCATCTACCATGTGAAAGGAAATAATAGGAATATCAAGGGGTTCAGTAACTTTGTTCCCAGTGCAAATTCAGATTTTGAGCTTATTTTTGTTTTTATCCGAATGAGTTTTTGATAGTAATATATTTATTAAATTTTATTGTTGGGGTAATAAATTAAACATTCCCTTTAAATTTAATGTCCTTTTCACCTTTTTAAAAGTTGTTACTTTACTTTCAGACAACAAATGGTACTATGTTATACCAGTTCATGCCAAGTAAGGTGCCCATCACTGGATGTCCATTATTTGGTTTTGTTGAAATTTAGTTAACATCAATTGAACATTTGTACTTTAATTTTCAAGATTTGAAAAATCTGTTTATTCTCACCTGATTTAATTAGATCAATGGCCCAAAGCTTTTTTTTTTTTTTTGGAACATTTACTTCTTTCATTTTCAACTTGGTGCTTTTCAATTGTTTGGCTAATGTATTTGATAAATATTTATGATTAAGAATCTACTTGTGCAGTCACATACATTCATCAATAAAAAAGAATAACAATTTAATCTTTTATAGATCTGATTTTTTTTCTTTGTATTTATTATGTTGATATAGACATTTTATTTTCAAATACACATACACTAAACTGATTGCATGGAAAAAATGCAAGAAAATAAAATTATACAAAAGTCAATGACAGGAGGATTTTCTTAAAAATAAAATACCCGCTTACAATTTCTGTTGTAGAGGAGTTACAATATAAAGAACAGACCAATTTTTAAATGCAAAGTTTTATTAGGGAAATAAAATTATACAAAGATAATTGTATCAAAGCAGAACTTTCTATACCTGTCAAGCCTTTGGAGGGAGGGGGTGACTAAATCACAGGACATTCTTCATGGGTTATATTTTTAAGTGTAAGTTTTCCTCAAATCAAAGTACACATTTCTGAACAAGATGAATGTACAAAATAAAAACTATAAATGCATATAGCAATCTGTAAGAGAAGTATGGCAACAGGAAACGATTAAAGCTCCTCCGATGTCAGGAAACAGGTTTCTCACATTCACCAATTCCACCCACTCACTCCTAGCATTAAAATGTACAGATAAAACATCTCAAAATAAAGTTGTTGCATTCACCCAAATGTATAGATTATATTTTATATATGTATATATTATTTTTTAATTTCAAAATCTTTTCATAAACTACAAGCACACCAACAAAACATGCAAATACACAGAAAGAAAAAATGCAAGCACTAACAGTAATTGCTTAATACTTTGGTTAATTTGCTTCTCTTACCTAATTACTAGTTTTAAAAATTTCTTTTGAATTACAAAATGTAACTTATTGCGAACTACTTTTTAAGAGCCTCTACAAGAACAAATTGTACACACTTAAGAAATCTGCCATTTTTGTTACTTCCTGCATTATTTAATGAAGATACAATTGCTGGTCTGTAATGCACAAAATCCCCAGATTTAAAAAAAAAGTGAATGCAAAGAGTGGGTTTTAAACCTTTCTTGGCATATTCTTTTTTAAACAATATAAAGAGATTTTGCCTAAACCTAGCAGATTATACAAGTAGTGTAGAAATTAGAATCATAAAAAAAAAACTAACACCCCATAATACAAAAAAAAAAGAGTGCAAAGAAAAAAGCCAACATAGTTATACATGTTATATGTGATCTGCTTAATGCACACACAAGATTTGAAATTTACCTATACACAGAGATGATTTAAAAATGTATTATAAATATGTTTTAAATAAAACTAAAAATTTGATATAATTATTATAATAAATCACATTGCCCTAAAATCATTTTTCTTACTTCTAGTATACAATACACTCACATTTTCATTTATCAGGTTACATAACTGATGAATGAGACGCTAAAGATTAAGAAATATTTTACCGACATGCGGTCAAAATAGATATAGCTTTTTTTTTTCAAACAACCAATGTAACTTAAAGAGCAATCGACCAACCATTTTAAAGTTAACTTAAAGTTAACCATATGCTATTTTTCATTTGGTAAATTTTGTAGTTTTACCTACATGGAGCCTACCATCAATTACAATAAATTCAAATACTAGTACATCAAATTCACTGCATTACCAGTAATAAGACAGTTGCAACTATACAATGAAAATTAATTTTACACTTTAAATGGAGCTGAGATTATACAACCAATTTTTATTGGTAAATTCATCAAGACAATTTTTTCAAGCCAAACACAACTACCAAAAATGTCCATATCCCAATAAAATGTCCTTAGGCCATACACTTTTCTCCAGAGAAATTTATTCAAGAATAAAGACTGAATCTCTCAATGTATTCAATTGTAGCTTGAAAGACAGTCCTCTTCAGGGAGCATCATTAATCATCCATTTATTCCAGAAGTTACAAAAATTTTAAAATGAAGTAAATTGTGTTCAGTGATGAAAGGCTATCATGTGATTGATACTGGTTGATCCTTCTGGACATTCTGAGACTAGCTTGTGCAAGACTACTGGAACTTTGCAAAAAATGTACACAATCACTATTGCTTCTAAAGTATATTCTTCAAAGCTAGTTTACTTTAAAAATTTTATTTTGAAAATAAAATAATTTGCATTGAATAAACTTATTCCCAGAACTCTACTTGGCCCAGTAGATCAACAATAATACGACATTCTTATATATGCACACACACATATATGTATATACAAATGCCCCCAACCCCTGGTCATAAGATCAAACATTATGCTTGTTTGAAGCTGATTGAGTATATCATTGAACGTGACTTCAATCTTACAAACAAGAGCTAACATCAGCTGGTGATTATGTATTTAAACTACTTGCTTTAGACCTCATCTCTTGGTAGCTGGTAGTTTTTGGTGGAACTCATAGTTCCACAAACATGAAAGTCTACACTCATGTGTTCCTGATTCCACTAAATTTCACCCAACACTCAATGTTTGCCTCCATTATTTACAGAACATTCTCCCAAAATACTGTACATAATTGTAGTCCTTTACCAATGTTGAAATCAGTTCCATCCAAAGCAGCTCAACTGGTGAGCTGCTTGTACACCAGTAAGGTGACTCATGGCACCAAGGCTCCCCTGTATCAGTTAACTGGTTGGTGAATATGGCGATTCACTTTTTATTCTGGGAGCGTGTGGGGAGATGGGATATGGGTAGTGGTGGAAGGGAGGGAAGCCGATGTACGGCAGGCTCAGTGGAGACTGGGGGAAGGGAAACTGTAAACGAAGAGGGGGAGGGGAGGATAGAAATGAGTCCACTGTGTGCGGTGTTGGTCGCTTCACTAGATGTGGCTGTGGGGATGATGAGGTCACCAGACACAGAGGCTGCGTCTGCTGTCCAGCTTCGACTTTATCGTCAACAAGTGGTGATAAAGGGGAGCTAAAATCGTTGCTGTCACTCTTGTGTAGGAAGTCTCTGCTGGCCAGAGGACTGTCCTGCGCGTTGGTCGAGTCGGACTCGCACCCAGAATGGACAGATGAGTCCAGTGTTCGGTTCCTCAGCAATGTGTCATCATCATCATCGTACTCTCCTGCACCTTCCCCTTCCCCCTGCTTATAACGGATGCACTTCTTCTTTCGCCTGAAAAAAATATCAACCCACAAATATTAGTGTCCAGCATACAAAAAACATCTAAATTGATATTTTATTATTAATTATTCCAGTTGTCCGTAAAGCAAATATATTTTTAAAAAAGCATCTATAATTAACACATTTAGAAAATAGCAGCATAAGTTCGTATATTAATCATATATTAATAAATGCAACAATAATTTTTTTTTTCAGTTAAAATAAAAGAAGCAATGGTGAATTTCATGTTATTGCTTCTTGATTTACGTCTACTTAAATGTTGCTATTTTAGGCAAGGCAACTATATTTCATGTGCAAAAGTAATTGGCTGATAAAAAGTATTTTATAGAACATAGATAAGCCTTTATAAAAAAAAACATTTATAAAAAAAAACAGAAAATACAAAAGCAAGCATTGGATTTTTAAGGTCGGTAAAGTAAAACAAATATTTGTAACTACTTGTATCACATCAATATCCAACTAAGCATGAAATATTCTTAAGTTTAAATGTACCAATTTTCTACTTTTAAATCATCTGAAATGCTTATTTATATCTCTCATGTAACTGGTTTTTTTTTAATTATCACATATCAATTATCATTGATGAACAAAACTATAACAGTCGATGTACAATAATTAAGATTTCTTTTACTCCTGCTGCAAGAAAAAGTATATTTAAATTTGAAATTAGCATCTACTGGTAATAACCCCAAGCCATAAAGTGCTGTTAGTTGAGGAGAATGTGAAAGGAAATATTAGTGGAGAGTTCAAGCACTACAGACTTGCTACAAGCAGGATGGAGAAACATCAACCAAAGCTAAAAGAGAAAAATAAAACCAACAAAAAGGAAAAAAAAAATGTTATGTGCGCACTACTAGAGGAAGTATAATGAGAAAGTTTGATAAGACTATTCACGTCATAAACTTGTGGAAATTGTAGTGGGTTACTGCCCTTTAGTTGGAAGTTATCATTCGAGCAGAATGTTTCAATTATTAGTCTTAATTATAGACAGTGAATAGTCTTACACAGAAATGTCTAGTTATAGAACAAGTACTGGTTGAAATATGTCTAGTCACTGAAAGAAAAACCAAAACCATTAGAAAAAGAAAGATAAATAAAGCCTTTACAAACAACACAAATGTAAAATCAATGTGCCAGAGATTTTAAGGGGGCTGGGACAGAGTACAATATTTTTACTTCAAATCTAAATGGTCTTTTCTAGAAAAAAATTGTGGCCAGAATTTTCATCATTTATCATTAGAAGGATGAAATGTAAGGGCAGGCAAGTAAATTTAGTCTGGATTGTTTACCTAACATATGTCAGTGTAAACAACCACATATTTCTATTCTGGTTGAACTTGTCAACAATTGGGAGCTTTAATTAATGAGTGTATCATGCAATGAATCATAATTGGTGCACAATGACAAGGTGATGATGCAGGGCTACAAGTGCAGTACACACAAGCTCTACACACACTGGCTAGACAGGGAGGGCAGGCAGCATGCTGGAGGTACCTTAACTAGCAGAAAGTTTTTCTGATCTGTCTCTACCAAAGACTGCTCCGACTTTTCATGTAAAGATCTGCAAAAACATAGGTCTGGGTTAAACATAAAATCACCGAGTAACATAAGACTCCCATTGACTTGGTCGGGCTGGTATCCATGTGGTCAGGTGTTTTAGCTGCCTTCATTAATTTGGTACGGTGTCTTAGCTGCCTTCACTAATTTGGTCAGGTGTCTTAGCTGCTTTCACTAATTAACAGTGGGATGGCTTAATCAGCAATTTTACAGAACAATAATAACCAGATGTTTTAATTTCTTACAATACATACAGGGTGAAAAAAAATTTAAATATTAATCAGCACAAGTTTAATATGTTGCTCTCAAGTTTAAAGCAAATAACTATTCTATAAGTCAGAGCTGGCACTAATCCCATTAATAGTTCATGTGAATACATTTTTTATTCATTTTATTTTTTTCAGGCTTAAAAGATACTCAGTGGTGGTTGAAACAGCTGCACTTGACTGTCACATTCATGCAGCAGCTGTTTCCCTAAATAAACATCTAATTAATTCATAAATTTGACTGTAGATTTTAGGATGTCTAATTGATCCAGTAAACTAAACTGTAAATTTAGTTAGAGTAGGCTGTATTTAATAAATGGCACAGGTAAATAACTGACATGAATAAATCAGTGAACTCAGGATGCTCTGAGCTTCTAGACTATCTGAACATATTATCAAACATGGCTTCAAGCCAAGCTTTAATCTTAATCAAACGTGCACTGAGGGAAGAGGTGCATTTTATTATAAGCTGTTAAGCAATTACTAAAAAGCTAGTAGAAAACTGCACTTTTTCTTAAAATATACAAAGATTGCGTAAATTTTTTTATCAGAGAAACTTGAAAAAAAAAGATGATTACAGGCGAAGAAAAAACATGGCCGGTGACAAATATCTCCTCTCAGACAACAAAGATCAAAAGCTGTATTGATTAGGCCACAAGTTTGGCCACATCTGACATAAAAAATCTGGCCACAAATCCATCATTCCCCCAGAGACTGACCAGTGTTCTCCATCAGTGGCTGCACTCTTAAATCATGGAATTAAGGAAATCCTTCATGAGCGCAGCCCAGATGGAATGAGATTTTTTTTTTTTTTTTAAATGCCTTTCCCCTATTTAAACTGAACAAAATCTAAGACAGCTGTGATATAATGTTTAGCGCTATCAAGATGATATTCCAGAAAGTCAACAGTGATGGCATGTGTACCAGCAGCTGTCAGCAGCCAACAAACATGATCTAGCCACCTGAGAGGGCCCCTGTTGACACACAGCGTCACCTGATCCTGTACCTACAGCCTGGCTGGGAAGGTGACCAGATGAACTATCTTGTCACCTGCAGCTGCGTGCGCTACAGTCAACAGCAGCATCACCGCTACAGCAGCATCACCGCTACAGCCAAACACATAGGGTAAACAACCATTCTGTTGACATTTGCACAGCAAACAAAACTACACTCAACTAATCGCATCTGAAAAATAAGAGCAACAACTAAATCTTCTAATCTGATCTAATCTTACCTGCATGGTTTACACCATCTAGACTGCTGCTCCATGCCATATCTAGCACGACATTTCTTCTCATTTGGACATTCTCCTAAAAAAGAAAAGTCTACTTCTGTATAAAAAATGTTCGTTTTTCTCTTTACATTTATTTCATAACTACCACGCTACTACAAAAGAAAATATAAAACAAACCAACTACTCTTAAAATTAAACAACGCTAAATAATCAAAACAAATCTATTTACAATACAATAACATAGTACTTTAAAAGCATACTACTTAAATAGAAAGAAATTTAATTAAAACAACAAGTAAATAAAAACAAGACTAACATCTTGCTAAAAACAACAAACGTTGAAAAAACTACACTGCCGTCAAGTAGAAAAATACCTGGTTTATTTTCAGATTCCATACACATTCCTCCAAGAGGGCCCCCAGCCCCCATGCTACTGGACCCGCCCATGGGGCTCATGCCAGGGCCTCCAGATCCCATAGGACCAATACTGTTGCCACCACCACCACCTGGCCCATCCTTTTTCCGCTTCTTCTTCTTCTGGTGTGCTGCGTAGTTGTCCCTGGCGCTCCAGCCTGGGTAGAGCTGTAGATGGAGCTCCTTCTCCTTCCTGGCCATCTCGTAGTACTTGGCCTGCTCGGAGCGGTCCAACGCGTGCCACTGGATACAAACACAATGGTTTTAAACTCATTGTACCAACATATGGGAGGTAACTTATCTTTTTACACATTACTTGATTAAAAATTCTGGTTCTTTAATTTAAAGAATTATTTAAAGTTTAAATTAACTTTTATACATTTTCTAAAGATAGAATTTTATTTGATGAAATCTTTCTTGCAGTTTAAAAAAAAATATATCCAATAAATTAGTAATACATAGTTAATTAATCAAGAATTTAAATGCAAAAATAATAAAAATAAAGCTAAGTGGATTGAATATTATGTAATGAAATCTTTCAGTTTTAAAAAAAATTGAAGATTCAATAAATTAGTAATACATAACTCAGGAATTAAAGTGATTATAAAACTAAAATATTAAAGTCTTGAGACAAACCTGATGTGGTTAAGTAAAGGGAATTTTTTTTTAAAAGTAGAAGGTTTGTGGGACCTACAATCTAAAGCTTTGACCAAATTAAAGTCTTGGCATCAAGTTAGCTGGGGGGATTTTTGATTATCCTTGAGCATGATGTGAGAGAACAAATGTTGGCTGGCTACAGCCAAATAGCTGGCTGGCTACAGCCAAATAGCTGGGTAGCTACAGCAGAATGGCTAGCTACAGCCAAGTAGCTTGCTAGCTACAGCCAAAAAGCTGGCTGGCTACAGCCAAATAGCTGGATGGCTACAGCCAAATAGCTGGATGGCTACAGCCAAATAGCTGGCTAGCTACAGCCAAATAGCTGGCTAGCTACAGCCAAATAGCTGGCTCGCTACAGCCAAAAAGCTGGCTAGCTACAGCCAAAAAGCTAGCTAGCTAGTTACAGCCAAAAAGCTAGCTAGCTAGTTACAGCCAAAAAGCTGGCTAGCTACAACTATTGTTACCTTTTCTTCAGGAACTCTCCCCAAACGGCGTCAAAGAAAATAAGCAAGATGTAACCTGAAACTGTGACCCAAGCTAGATAGTCTACTCACCCTCCGGCCTAGGATCTGGTTAATGGCTGCTGACTCCTTCAAAGTGCACTCTGAGATCACTTTGGGTCTCATTTCTTTCATAAATAACATAAAGGCGTTTAAGGGTTTCTTTACATAAGGCTTTTTTCTGCTCTCCTCGCCGGAGCTGCTGCCATGGTGCGAGGACTTACAACTAGAGTTTTCGTCACCATGAGACGAGTTTAGCTGCCTGTAGAGAGGACCAAACAAAGGGGAACGATCACCACATACTCAAAGATAATCATTAGAACAACGGAACCGAGCTCCTGCCATCCTAGTCCTGAGGGTGGGGGGCCTGAGGGAGGGGGAGGGCCTGACCTTGGGTGGGGCTTGTAACTTAACAGGCCGAAGCACGCAGACTTACCCTCCGGCCCAAGATTTGGTTGATTGCCGAGGACTCCCTCAGTGTACACTCGGCAATGACTTTAGGACGCTGCTCTTTCATAAATAACATAAATGCATTTAAGGGTTTCTTTATATGATTTTTTTTCTTCTGTGGGGGCTCAGCTGAGTGGCCGGAGGTATTACTGGAAAGAAAAATGGGACACAGATGGTACACACAAACAACACATGTGTCATCCTCTAGGTGCTACATGGGACACGGTACACACAAAACAACACATGTGTCATCCTCTAGGTGCTACATGGGACACGGTACACACTACAAAACAACACAAGTGTCATCCTCTGCTAAATGGAACACAGATGGTACACACGAAACAACACATGTGTCATCCTCTAGGTGCTACATGGGACACAGATGGGACACACAAAACAACACATGTGTCATCCTCTGCTACATGGGACACAGATGGTACACACAAAACAACACATGTGTCATCCTCTAGGTGCTACATGGGACACAGATGGGACACACAAAACAACACATGTGTCATCCTCTAGGTGCTACATGGGACACAGATGGGACACACAAAACAACACATGTGTCATCCTCTGCTACATGGGACACAGATGGTACACACAAAACAACACATGTGTCATCCTCTAGGTGCTACATGGGACACAGATGGGACACACAAAACAACACATGTGTCATCCTCTAGGTGCTACATGGGACACAGATGGGACACACAAAACAACACATGTGTCATCCTCTGCTACATGGGACACAGATGGTACACACAAAACAACACATGTGTCATCCTCTAGGTGCTACATGGGACACAGATGGGACACACAAAACAACACATGTGTCATCCTCTAGGTGCTACATGGGACACAGATGGTACACATAAAACAACACATGTGTCATCCTCTAGGTGCTACATGGGACACGGTACACACTACAAAACAACACAAGTGTCATCCTCTGCTAAATGGGACACAGATGGTACACACGAAACAACACATGTGTCATCCTCTAGGTGCTACTGTTTCTTAAGACATTCCCTCCAACTAGACCGTCAAGTAGGAAATTATTTTGTTTTGCAGGGAAATACAATCATTGTGGATACTCTGTACACATTGGTGACACACATTAAACTTATATAGACTTGAAGCAAAACACTGCATTAAAAACATACATTTCTATTGAGCAACAAGGCATCTGGAATTAATTCAAATTTTAAACTCAGGTTTTCAAAAATGGGAAATCACAGCAGTTGTTAGTTGAAGTACTAGCTGTTTCCTAGATTATCCACTGAGGCAGTCAAGTCTATACAGGGAGATCTTAACTCCATAACATATGTATACAGCTTTTAGGTAGCTTTAACTTTGGATCAAATGTAAACATATACTCTATTTGAACATGATTTATGTTAGAGAATGAGAAAGATCATTGTCATAAAAACATAAATAGTACTCTCTAAGTACCAATATTTTCACTATCTAAAAGTCATTTTGACTATCTATAAAAAATGTAAAATTTAAAAAAAAAACCACCCACCCCCACCAGCTAGCTAGTGCAACATCTAATCCTTACACCATAAGACCCATCTAGCTAGTGCTACTATGAGACCCATCTAGCTAGTGCTACCATAAGACCCATCTAGCTAGTGTTACCATAAGACCAGCCTAGACCCACCTAGCAAGTGCTCCCATAAGACACATCTAGCTAGTGCTACCATGAGACCCACCAAGCTAATGCTACCATGAGACCCATCTAGCTAATGCTACCATGAGACCCATCTAGCTTGTGCTACCATGAGACCCATCTAGCTAGTGCTACCATGAGACCCACCAAGCTAATTCAACCATGAGACCCATCTAGCTAGTGCTACCATGAGACCCATCTAGCTAGTGCTACCATGAGACCCATCTAGCTAGTGCTACCATGAGACCCACCTAGCTAGTGCTACCATAAGACCCACCTAGCTAATGCTACCATGAGACCCACCTAGCTAGTGCTACCATGAGACCCATCTAGCTAGTGCTACCATAAGACCCACCTAGCTAATGCTACCATAAGACCCACCTAGCTAATGCTACCATGAGACCCACCTAGCTAGTGCTACCATGAGACCCACCTAGCTAATTCAACCATGAGACCCATCTAGCTTGTGCTACCATGAGACCCACCGAGCTAGTGCTACCATGAGACCCATCTAGCTAGTGCTACCATGAGACCCATCTAGCTAGTGCTACCATGAGACCCACCTAGCTAGTGCTACCATGAGACCCACCTAGCTAATTCAACCATGAGACCCATCTAGCTTGTGCTACCATGAGACCCATCTAGCTAGTGCTACCATAAGACCCACCGAGCTAATGCTACCATGAGACCCACCAAGCTAATGCTACCATGAGACCCATCTATCTGGTGCTACCATGAGACCCATCTAGCTAGTGCTACCATGAGACCAACCTAGCCTATGCTACCATGAGACCCACCTAGCTAGTGCTACATGTCTTACCTGTGACTGTCTTGTAGTAGCTGGGGAGACATGAGCTCTGACTTGGGCCCCGCCCCCAGGGAGGCAGGGTGTGGAATGCCGGGATGGCCCAGGCCAGGGTGTGACAAGAGCCCTGGGGGGCCATAACGTGATAACGATGACAATGAGGGCGGGAATGAGCCCGCAAAGGCACCTGAGGTGAGAGGGTAGCCTGGCCTGTGCCTGAAAGTAGAATTAAAAACATTTAAAGAACATGCCTTAAAACATTCCATTGATCTAGTAATCTAGTCAAATTAGCTGAGGGGGTGTTTGTAATGTAATTAAAAGACATTTTGTGCTATAAATAGCAACCAAAGACGACAACAAGAGATAATTTAAACAAAGCTTACAAAAACAGACAGCCTGTCGTGAAATTTAAATGATGATTAAACATTAAAGTGCAAGCAAACACGCACATAAATTAACACACAAAAACTAAACTGGAAGCTGTGAAACTGCTAAAATATGGCGGCAGTTTTAACGAGAGGTCATTCGTTTTTTTTGTTGTTTTTTTTTTTGTTTTTTTTTTATGTTTTGGACCGTATTGGTTTTTGTCCACAAAGTTTTTGTCTTTTTTTTTTTCATCAAAACTTTACATAAACAACAGAATCCAAATCGATCATCGATGTAAAACAATAATAAACAACTTTTTGTAACTCATGCAATATCTGGCGCTGGTGGTAGAATAAATGGTAGATAATGGAGGCAATGTCAAACTTTTATAACATTATGAAACAATGTATAAAATGTTTATAAGATAATGTTTGTGTACTAATCTTGTATTAAAGCAATAATATTCATCATAGCAAATATAGACATCTTCCCCGTCCACCAGTGTAAAACAATGCTAGGTTAAAACTTGGCCATAATTTTAACTTGAAGAACAGACTGGACTATATTTAGAACGGCATCATCCAATGGCGGCTGTTGGTGGGCCGTGGGTTGGCAGGAAGGTGGGCCCTGTCATGCGCGTGTTATTTATGGAGACAGGAGGGGCGGTATAGAGTGTGACGGACCAATGGGAGCCGGGCAGCTGGCTCCGCCTGGTGCTGTAGAACGTGGCATGCCTATTTCTCCCACACCGGATTAACGATCTTCTTGAGAGCAATTAAACAAAGCAGATGAAGGGATAAACGCGGTCTAGGAAGGGGGCCCATAAACGTGTCATCTACGACAGATTCCATGCCATTATTACAGACAAAGCCCCGCCATAAAACACAGGTACCTTTAACTTGGGGGAAAAAATATTTGGAAGACTTCCCGTTTTTTTCTGGGGTTGGTAGTGGGGGTTGTCAGTCTAGGGTTGGTAGTGGGGGTTGTCAGTCTAGGGTTGGTAGTGTGGGTTGTCTGTGGTTGTCAGTGTGGGCTGTCTATGGGTTGTCAGTGTGGGCTATGCCAGTGTAGGCTACTACACATCAGAACCATCGCATTCAGTGCTTACTACATAGGAATCATCTTCAGTCAATGCTTTCCTTACAAAGTTTCCACAGATCTGTAAAATCAACTTGAAGAGAAAACGCTTGAGCCATATAGATCTAGCAAGTATTTTTTAGAGTGAAATAGAGACGGATGGACGGTATATCAATGATTCCTCTCTTAAATGCTAAGAGAAAAACATCCAATTAAAATTTAGCCAACTTTTGGGAAATGGGAGAAAAAAATATAATAAATTAACGTTTCCACGTAGTTGTTCCAAAAATAAAAGAACTCAAGTTAACGCGGGGATCGTTGTGTGTGTGCGACCAGTGATGCCCCCCCCCCTCGTCACATATGTAGCAAGATGTGACGTCATGTGTGGGGAGAGGATTCATGTAGAAATTCATCAGCCCCACCTGCTGATAAATGATCAAAGTGACGACGCAGCTCTACTATCTGCAGTTTTTTAAATACCCCACTGTCGAATATATCGAAATCCCCCCCCCCTCCCACTGATACCCAGCGCAGATTTCTCACTGCCACCATCTATCAGAAGACCGGCGGATGTCTCGTCTGGCTCCGTGTCAGGTTGTTATCCCAGACATATCTCTCCCCCCCCCCCCCTTCCACCAGTGACCACCCAATTCATGAGAGTCAAGTCATTGACAGCTCACTGGCCGTGTGACAGGTGCTCAAATCATTTCACCTGTTTAATGAGTTGAGTGTCTAATGAACCCAGCGTCAACTCCACCAATCAAGGTAGACAACAGATGTGACTGCGGGAATTAGAGACTATTTATTGTCAACTGAGATAGCGATCATCTGGGATTAGGATAGAGGAGGGTGACGGTAGCGCAGGTGAGCCGCCCCCCCCCCCCCCCCCCCCTGAAAAGGTAGGCCAAACATATTTAAATATATGCAGGATATTAGAAATGTCGCCAGGTAGGAAAAACTGTCAGACGGTCTGTGCTGGACAGCCGCCATCTTGTGTACAGACCACCAGGTAGCCGGTGGGTGACAGGCAGTCCAGAACACTGGGCGGGAGATATACAACACGGACATCAGCTGACAGACGAACAACTTCCGGTCAGCCACGACCAAGGTGCCGACCCAGCGGGGACAGTCTGGGGCAGGGGAGGGCGTCACGTGCTGGAAATAACGACGGCTCCTGTAAGCGGGGCCGTGTAACCAGCTCGAGTGCCTGTGGGACGGGCCAGCCATGCCTGCAGCCATAAACGTCACCCCCAGTCATAGTTACCCGGGCTGACACCACTCAACCAGCGCTCACAGTGACACACAATACATTGCCGGCATTTTTCATCGCACGTCCTGCTCGTGATCTTATCTCACACGTCCTGCTCGTGATCTTATCTCACACGTCCTGCTCGTGATCTTATCTCACACGTCCTGCTCGTGATCTTATCTCACACATCCTGCTCGTGATCTTATCTCACACGTCCTGCTCGTGATCTTATTTCACACGTCCTGCTCGTGATCTTCTTAACTCGCACGTCCTGCTCATGATCTTCTTAACTCGCACGTCCTGCTCATGATCTTCTTAACTCGCACGTCCTGCTCATGATCTTCTTAACTCGCACGTCCTGCTCATAATCTTCTTAACTCGCACGTCCTGCTCATGATCTTCTTAACTCGCACGTCCTGCTCATGATCTTAACTCGCACGTCCTGCTCATGATCTTAACTCGCACGTCCTGCTCATGATCTTCTTAACTCGCACGTCCTGCTCATGATCTTAACTCGCGCGTCCTGCTCATGATCTTCTTAACTCGCACGTCCTGCTCATGATCTTAACTCGCACGCCCTGCTCGTGATCTTCTTAACTCGCACGCCCTGCTCATGATCTTAACTCGCACGCCCTGCTCATGATCTTAACTCGCACGCCCTGCTCATGATCTACTTAACTCGCGCGTCCTGCTCATGATCTTCTTAACTCGCACGTCCTGCTCATGATCTTAACTCGCACGCCCTGCTCATGATCTTCTTAACTCGCGCGTCCTGCTCATGATCTTAACTCGCACGTCCTGCTCATGATCTTAACTCGCACGTCCTGCTCATGATCTTAACTCGCACGTCCTGCTCATGATCTTAACTCGCACGTCCTGCTCGTGATCTTGTCTTGGCCAGCTCCTGTTGATAACGCGCCACTGGCGATTTCTTGAGGATTATGCACCACTGGTGAGCATTTGATGCACATTAAAGCGCCACAAACTGTATCTGGTTGATTCAACAATTTTATACCAACGTTTCTAATCTTCATTATTCACGTACCTCGACCAAATCTCCCCTCTGATACCCCCACAATAAAAGTTGGGAACTCAACACAGGGCTGAACTCACCATCCCAGAAGTGCTAACCCTCCCTTATAACGATACGTAACACAACAGAAAGTTCTTGCAGATGATGCGCCATTGGTGAGTGCTTGCAGCAGATGCACGAGTAGACACCTCACGACCCCCCCCCCCCTCCACTGACATGCGCCATTACCAACCATTCATGCAACCCATCAGATATCTGGCACCGTGTAATATAACAGTGCCACCCCTAAGAATAAGAAAAACACTTATGTGTCATACCATTATTATAATTCCTTTTTTTTTTTTGGCAATTACCATTGAAGACATAATATCAAAACGTCAAGTCCTGATTTCTCGTAGTTGATAGGCCATGCTTTTACAACTCACTTCGGTATGCCCCCGGCTATTAGTTCTAAATAATTGTAATCATAAGGTTAAAGTCGTGGCTATGGGAAGATATAGACCACACCTCTTTGGTGGGACTGGACGAGTCTATTATGTAGCTAATCTATTTAACTGAGCACACAAGTAATAGACAGGACTAGGTGTCAGTGTTAGACAATGTGGAAGCTGCTCCCTTTGCTCGTGTTTTATGCTATGTGTTACATGGTATCTATAATATTACACACTAGCATTTATTTAACACGGCAATCATATTACGTCAGCATTAACGCGGCATCCATAATGCTACACATGCGCGTTTAACGCGGCATCCATAACGCTACACATGCGCGTTAAAGACGGCACACAGAATATTACACACCCGCGTTTAACACGGCATCCATAATGCTACACACCCGCGTTTAACACAGCATCCATAATGCTACACACCCGCGTTTAACACAGCATCCATTATGCTACACACCCGCGTTTAACACAGCATCCATAATGCTACACACCCGCGTTTAACACGGCATCCATAATGCTACACACCCGCGTTTAACGCGGCCCCCAGAATTTTACACACCCGCGTTTAACACGGCATCCATAATGCTACACACCCGCGTTTAACGCGGCCCCCAGAATTTTACACACCCGCGTTTAACATGGCACCCAGAATATTACACACCCGCGTTTAACACGGCATCCATAATGCTACACACCCGCGTTTAACGCGGCCCCCAGAATTTTACACACCCGCGTTTAACACGGCATCCATAATGCTACACACCCGCGTTTAACGCGGCCCCCAGAATTTTACATACCCGCGTTTAACACGGCACCCATTGGTGCAATAAAACAGATCTGTTCCAGTCAGCCATGATGATATCATCGCCGTTGTCTTGATTAGATGGCCAACCAAGTCAGTCCAGTACGAAAACTGACCGTCCAGCCAACCTTACGACAACTGACAGTCCAGTCAACCAGTCCAGTCAACCTTACGACAACTGACAGTCCAGTCAACCAGTCCAGTCAACCTTACGACAACTGACAGTCCAGTCAACCTTACGACAACTGACAGTCCAGTCAACCTTACGACAACTGACAGTCCAGTCAACCTTACGACAACTGACAGTCCAGTCAACCAGTCCAGTCAACCTTACGACAACTGACAGTCCAGTCAACCCGTCCAGTCAACCTTACGACAACTGACACTCCAGTCAACCTTACGACCAACAATTAAATGTATTAGCGTGAGTTTCCGTCCAGTCTGTCTTCCTTTAGTTCATGTAGTCTTGTGGAATGTTACATAGCCTAACTAAACATCCAACAACTTATACGGTTGTAAATTGGTACATGCGGTAGCGAACATAAACTTGCTAAGGCTACATCGCAAATAGATCACATTAGGGTCGTTCGCATCGTCCAAAGTTAAATCTCGGTAGAAACGCATACAAAATGTATCTAGCACTGAGCCATTTATTGTTCAAACATTTGGTTTATCTGTAATAGGGCAGTCGATATCCATTACTGGGCCAATATTAATATTGTTTTTATTGTCAAACCTAAAGTTTGATACTTGTGCAATAGTTGTTAGTAGCACCACGTGTAACAAGTCATTAGTTGGATACTACTGTCCTACACCTATTAAAACAACCCGTTGATTTCGAGGGCTTTGTGAACTTCATAACACAGTGTTAAGTTCGCTCAGTAGATCTTAACACAAGTAAATGAATGACTTTTACCACACATGAAAGTAGTCGTTGTGCTTAGAGTTTTCAACACTACCTCCATGGAGCTGCGATAAATATGACGTTTCGCAATATCATACACATTGCTAGCAATCCAGATTTACAAATACATTTTTCGCGCATACTGGTTTCGCGCTCTTATGAGTGACAATTAAAACCAAAATGGCTTCACTGAAAAAGCAAATATTGGCCACATATAGAAGTTTATTACAAACATAGAACAACTATTTTCTGAATGTATTTGTTGTTAACTAAAGTGGTTTCTGTCTAGTCCCACTCAAATGTGTAAGTAATTTAACTACATGGTACATTTACTATTTGGCGATGCTTCCAGATTATAAATTACAAAAAGATTTTTTTTGTTATATTTAATCAATCAGGCCTATATTTTAAAAATGACTGCGATGTGAGAAGTCTGCACGACTGCAGTATGAGATGTGTGATGTGAGATGTCTACATGACTGTGATGTGAGATGTCTACATGACTGATGTGAGATGTCTACATGACTGTGATGTGAGATGTCTACATGACTGTGATATGAGATGTCTACATGACTGTGATGTGAGATGTCTACATGACTGTGATGTGAGATGTCTACATGACTGTGATGTGAGATGTCTACATGACTGTGATGTGAGATGTCTACATGACTGATGTGAGATGTCTACACGACTGTGATGTGAGATGTCTACATGACTGTGATGTGAGATGTCTACATGACTGTGATGTGAGATGTCTACATGACTGTGATGTGAGATGTCTACATGACTGTGATGAGAGATGTCTACATGACTGTGATGTGTGATGTGTGGCGTGAGATGTCTACACGACTGTGATGTGAGATGTGTGATGTGAGATGTCTACATGACTGATGTGAGATGTCTACATGACTGTGATGTGAGATATCTACATGACTGTGATGTGAGATGTCTACATGACTGATGTGAGATGTCTACATGACTGTGATGTGAGATGTCTACATGACTGTGATGTGAGATGTCTACATGACTGATGTGAGATGTCTACATGACTGTGATGTGAGATGTCTACATGACTGTGATGTGAGATGTCTACGTGACTGTGATGTGAGATGTCTACACGACTGTGATGTCAGATGTCTACACGACTGTGATGTGAGATGTGTAGATGACTGTGATATGAGATGTCTACATGACTGATGTGTGGCGTGAGTCTACATGACTGAGACAAGGATTTTATAATACCAGGTACAACAGATCATTAGCCCGAACCGTGACGGCTGCAGGCGATGCCTAACTGGTGCACACCTGACATTATCGAACACAACATGACGTCACGTGCAGTACTCACCAAGACGCACTGGTAAACTCTGGAGAATACAACGGGTGGGGGAACTGACCGGGCGGGGCGGGGTATGCTGCATACATAGGCGGCCGAGGCAAACCTGAAACAGACAGGGACATGGGTCAGTCAAAAACATGGGTCAGTCAAAAAAACGGGTCAGTCAAAAACATGGGTCAGTCAAAAACATGGTCAAGTCATGCTACAGTCACATGGGTCAGTCAAACACATGGTCAAGTCATGCTACAGTCACATGGGTCAGTCAAACACATGATCAAGTCATGCTACAGTCACATGGGTCAGTTAAAAACATGGTCAAGTCATGCTACAGTCACATGGGTCAGTCAGACACATGGTCAAGTCATGTTACAGTCACATGGGTCAGTCAAAAACGTGGTTTAAGTCATGCTACAGTCACATGGCTCAGTCAAAAACATGGTCAAGTCATGCGACAGTCACATGGGTCAGTCAAAAACATGGTCGAGTCATGTTACAGTCACATGGGTCAGTCAAAAACATGGTCGAGTCATGTTACAGTCACATGGGTCAGTTAAAAACATGGTCAAGTCATGCTACAGTCACATGGGTCAGTCAAAAACATGGTCAAGTCATGCGACAGTCACATGGGTCAGTCAAAAACATGGTCGAGTCATGTTACAGTCACATGGGTCAGTCAAAAACATGGTCGAGTCATGTTACAGTCACATGGGTCAGTTAAAAACATGGTCAAGTCATGCTACAGTCACATGGGTCAGTCAAACACATGATCAAGTCATGCTACAGTCACATGGGTCAGTCAAAAACATGGTCAAGTCATGCGACAGTCACATGGGTCAGTCAAAAACATGGTCGAGTCATGTTACAGTCACATGGGTCAGTCAAAAACATGGTCGAGTCATGTTACAGTCACATGGGTCAGTTAAAAACATGGTCAAGTCATGCTACAGTCACATGGGTCAGTCAAACACATGATCAAGTCATGCTACAGTCACATGGGTCAGTCAAAAACATGGTCAAGTCATGTTACAGTCACATGGGTCAGTCAAACACATGATCAAGTCATGCTACAGTCACATGGGTCAGTTAAAAACATGGTCAAGTCATGCTACAGTCACATGGGTCAGTTAAAAACATGGTCAAGTCATGCTACAGTCACATGGGTCAGTCAGACACATGGTCAAGTCTGGCTAGAATTACATGAATCTAAATTCAAATATTTTTAAAGTGTCGGATATAATGATTAAATGATCTGATGCTGATTTAGTTCTAAATATCGAATTATCAAAATATCTACTGGGTAGTGGCTTTATGTGGACAGGAGACTAGAAGAAAAATGATTTTAAATTATTACATAAAATAAATTATACTAATTTAAAAAAATTATAAGCCAGTACCGGTAGTGAATATTCCAATGTGATGTTTTAATCTGGATATGATTTTTTTTCCAGTTGTTTGTAAGATAAATACAAACAACGAGTCAAATGAAAATTTTAAATGAAAGATTTTCAAATAAAAAAAAAAAAACTGAACGAAACAATTTAAAATTCAACGTTTGCGAATACAAACCAAATAAAATTTCAGCCAGCGCGGCAGATAAGTTATAGAAATCTGCTGGGAATAAAGTATGAAATGTAGGCAAGTGTTAGAGGATAAGTTAAAGAAATCTGCTGGGAATAAAGCATGAAGTGTAGGCAAGTGTTAGAGGATTAAGTTAAAGAAATCTGCTGGGAATAAAGTATGAAGTGTAGGCAAGTGTTAGAGGATAAGTTAAAGAAATCTGCTGGGAATAAAGCATGAAGTGTAGGCAAGTGTTAGAGGATAAGTTAAAGAAATCTGCTGGGAATAAAGCATGAAGTGTAGGCAAGTGTTAGAGGATAAGTTAAAGAAATCTGCTGGGAATAAAGCATGAAGTGTAGGCAAGTGTTAGAGGATAAGTTAAAGAAATCTGCTGGGAATAAAGCATGAAGTGTAGGCAAGTGTTAGAGGATAAGTTAAAGAAATCTGCTGGGAATAAAGCATGAAGTGTAGGCAAGTGTTAGAGGATAAGTTAAAGAAATCTGCTGGGAATAAAGCATGAAGTGTAGGCAAGTGTTAAAGAATTCTGTCGGAGGAAATTGTAATAACAGTCGGGGAAATAAAAAAATGTCGGAAATAATAATTATCAAACAAATAACGTCGGAAACAGTTATAAATTATAAAATGTCGGAGATGCAATTCTTTAAGAGTGATAAAGTTGAATTGCCTGTAAAAGGAAAAAATACGCAAATACAAGTTGAAACGTTATGTGTAAATTGTTTTTATGCTCTAAGTAATGTATAGGAGGTCATTCTTTGATCATGTCTGTAATTAACCAATTTAAAAAATCATGGCGCAGATTTTAATTGCGCAGTTTTCTGATCACCACGAAGAAGCTGATAGGGTGTGTGTGGGGGGGGGGGGGGGTAGTAAATAAATTGTGTGAATAGTGAGTTCTATTTTAAATCTATTTGATCAACCGGCCTCTGTGAGCCGATATCATTAGGACATCAACACACAAATAATATCCAAACACAAAATCCATAGCCTGTGTCCACGTGTGTGTCCACGTGTGTGATCTGTGTATTGCAAGACACAAATATTGTGCAGCGCTGACCTAATCTCCCACCCACTAACGGCCTAGGGACCACCACAAATGTGTAACGCTGACCTAATCACCACCCACTAACGGCCTAGGGACCACCACAAATGTGTAACGCTGACCTAATCACCACCCACTAACGGCCTAGAGACTACCACAAATGAGTAACGCTGACCTAATCACCACCCACTAACGGCCTAAAGAACACCACAAATGTGTAACGCTGACCTAATCACCACCCACTAACGGCCTAGGGACCACCACAAATGTGTAACGCTGACCTAATCACCACCCACTAACGGCCTAGGGACCACCACAAATGAGTAACGCTGACCTAATCACCACCCACTAACGGCCTAGGGACCACCACAAATGTGTAACGCTGACCTAATCACCACCCACTAACGGCCTAGGGACCACCACAAATGTGTAACGCTGACCTAATCACCACCCACTAACGGCCTAGGGACCACCACAAATGTGTAACGCTGACCTAATCACCACCCACTAACGGCCTAGGGACCACCACAAATGTGTAACGCTGACCTAATCACCACCCACTAACGGCCTAGGGACCACCACAAATGTGTAACGCTGACCTAATCACCACCCACTAACGGCCTAGGGACCACCACAAATGTGTAACGCTGACCTAATCACCACCCACTAACGGCCTAGGGACCACCACAAATGTGTAACGCTGACCTAATCACCACCCACTAACGGCCTAAAGACCACCACAAATGTGTAACGCTGACCTAATCCCCACCCACTAACGGCCTAAAGACCACCACAAATGTGTAACGCTGACCTAATCACCACCCACTAACGGCCCAAAGACCACATTGACCTAATTCCCCACTTACGACCTAAGGAGGACAACTAGCCCCGGGGTAACACTGATCACCAAATACATGACGTTTTCTTGCATTAGATGGGATGCTTCATACCTTCTGACTGTGTACGTTTTGACACAATCTAGTGGTGACAAAAACTAATGACTAGTGGTGACACAAGACTGACTAGTGGGTATAAAAGTTGCTGACAATCGACTAAAGATGACCAACAATTAACTAACAAACATGGAAAAAGAAGCGCCAACTTAATTGCTGCAGTTCTCACACAAAGTGCGTCGTGGTGTAAGCGCTAACGACCACTCTATCTACTAGTGCAATATGGCGAGGGAGGGGGGGGGGGAGGGGGAGTGTCCAGCACAGGCCACGGATAACTTATTTCCTTACAATTATTTCAGCCCGCCTACACGCAAGTGTATTAAGTTTTGTAAAAAATACAATTGGTCGGCGTTGATTGGAACAAGTGGTTGTTGCGGATGTGCGCGGTGGTGCTAGGATGTGCTAGTAAATCAATGTTTACGCTAAGTTGGAGCCGGCAGATTTGGCTTGAATTGCCAAGTCGAGTGTCTGAGCGTGACCACGATAAAAAAAACAAAACAATAGAAAATCGCCATTAGTTCGGCCAGTAACACATGTCTACGAATGCTTAATGAGCTGGTGCCTTCATTATTTCACTGGACACGTCATAGCTCTAAGATGTCAAATTTAAACCGTGAGCGTTCTATGGTTCGGACACGAATCTTTTTAATTTATCTTATTCTACTCCAACGGCGGCGTTACTGTCAGATGACAAGATGCAGTGTATCCACGACAAGACTGCAGTACTGGTCAAACTATCCGCCACAAGACTGGCCGTACTGGTCAAACTATCCGCCACAAGACTGACCGTACTGGTCAAACTATCTACGACAAGACTGACCGTACTGGTCAAACTATCCGCCACAAGACTGGCCGTAATGGTCAAACTACGACAAGACTGGCCGTACTGGTCAAACTATCCGCCACAAGACTGACCGTACTGGTCAAACTATCTACGACAAGACTGACCGTACTGGTCAAACTATCCGCCACAAGACTGGCCGTAATGGTCAAACTACGACAAGACTGGCCGTACTGGTCAAACTATCCGCCACAAGACTGGCCGTACTGGTCAAACTATCTACGACAAGACTGGCCGTAATGGTCAAACTATCTACGACAAGACTGACCGTACTGGTCAAACTATCTACGACAAGACTGACCGTACTAGTCAAACTATCCGCCACAAGACTGACCGTACTGGTCAAACTATCTACGACAAGACTGACCGTACTAGTCAAACTATCCGCCACAAGACTGACCGTACTGGTCAAACTATCTACGACAAGACTGCAGTAATGGTCAAACTATCTACGACAAGTTGACCGTACTGGTCAAACTACGACAAGACTGACCGTACTGGTCAAACTATCCGCCACAAGACTGGCCGTAATGGTCAAACTATCTACGACAAGACTGACCGTACTGGTCAAACTATGACAAGACTGACCGCACTGGTCAAACTATCCATTATAAGACTGACCGAACTTGTCAAATTATCCGCCACAAGAATGACCGTACTGATCAAGTATGAGCGATGCCAATTGATGTTAGTAAACAACAGATTAGCTTTACAGAGAAATAGTAAGGAGTTTGGTAGTTTGTTACAGGCAACTAATTATCTTAAGCTACGCTGACAAAATAGGACTAGGATAGAGAAAACGTTTTTAAGAATCGACATTGTCTTGTTACTCTAACGTTCTTTCGCAGTTTGCTGTTTGGAGAGGGGGTGGAGTGGCTGGAGCGAACGTAGAGGATAAAATACCCGATACATTAGTAAAATAATTAGATATAATTACACCATTCTCCCCACACCTGCCTATATTAAACCCAACCCCCCATGTACCAATTAACACCTGCGAAAAACAGAATGTAAACCCAACCTGCCTACTAAACACCTGAAGACAAACCCCACCTGCCCACTAAACACCTGCGACTGAAGACAGAATGTACCCACACCTGCCCACTAAACACCTGCGACTGAATGTACCCACACCTGCCCACTAAACACCTGCGAATGAAGACAGAATGTAAACCCAACCTGCCCACTAAACACCTGCGACTGAAGACAGAATGTAAACCCAACCTGCCCACTAAACACCTGCGACTGAAGACAGAATGTAAACCCAACCTGCCCACTAAACACCTGTGAATGAAGCCATGTAACGTACCTGTTTTGGGGTCTGTGTACACCGGTGAGTAGCCTTTATGTGCTGGAGGGGGTTGAGCAAAATCATTGTACATCACAAGCCCTGGGTAGGGTGGCTGGACCATGCCAAACTTGCCGGCCTGTGGATGGAAGGGGATACGTGAGAATCATCAAGACATTGGCACCCACACAACGTTTGCTGACACGCCATCCAATACATGTACAACACACAACAACCGATATACACGCCATCCAACACATGTACAATACACAACAACCGTAGCTGACACGCCATCCAACACATGTACAACACACAACAACCGTAGCTGACACGCCATCCAACACATATGTACAACACACAACAACCGTAGCTGACACGCCATCTAACACATATGTACAACACACACCAACCGAAGCTGACACGCCATTCAACACACGTTCAACACACAACAACCGATATACACGCCATACAACACATGTACAACACACATCCAACATACCTAAACTAAACTAATATTGACACATGATCCACCACAGACACACAACGAACGACACAACTACAAGAGAAACAGATGGCGTCACACAGCAGTCTAAGGCGATGTCCGTCTGAAAGTACCAGCATTGACATACCATCAAACAATGCATATCTGCAAGATGTGCAGCAATAGGGACAGGCTACATGTTTATCAAAGAACAGACGTAGACCAGAAAGACAAGCCACGCCCCTAGATCAAACAAACGGGTTCTAGAGAGAGCCGCTTGTACCGGAACGAATGTTTCCTATTTAATCTCACATCTCTCGATTAGTCCTATTGTTTTCATGCTGTCGTCACGTTCCGCGATGTTGCTTGCATACAAATATGGCCGGCGTCTTCAAAGAATTAACTCACATGCCAAAAGTCAAACCATTTTTTTTATCAATGTTATTTTTATTTCGCGTGTTTTGTTTAATTTGCTAACATCGCATCCTCGTACAAGATGTAACTCACATGCCAAAAGTCAATTTTTATTAATAATTTTATTTCGCGTGTTTTGTTTAATTCGCCAACAACGCAGGCACGCACAAGACATAGTTTACGTGCCAAATGTTAATTTTTTTCAAATTTTTATTTCACTTGTTTTAATTTGCTCACACCGCAGACAGCGTACAAGACATCAAACACAAATAGATGCTTTCATCCCTTTCATTAAGCCACTAGTGGTTGAGTCTCGTTACGTTGATAAAAAGCTAGACTTGCTCAAGCCGTGTCGGGTGGGTTGCAGCATATGTATTTCATTGGGGCATAGTTTTCAATACATGGGGACACGTAATACCCTTGATAGAGCCAGGATAAAAAGGCTGGGGGCGGCACCAGGCTTGATGGGATAATTCACCACTCGCTGTGGGCTTTGACTGGCCCTTTGATTCCATCAAGTTTTGTTCTAACAGGAGCTGGGCCGACATCGAAACAAAAACAATTGAAATACTTGAACAAGCGTTAATTTATCCAAGTTACGACGGAGTAAGGGCGGGGGGGGGGGGGGGGGGGGGTCAAAATATCTCTGTTATGTATGAACCAGGTAGTATCAGTTGGGTAACTCTGGCTCTACAACCCTAACCTGGCTACAACCCAACAACCCTAATGTGGTTACAACCCAACAACAACCCTAGGCTGGTTACAACCCAACAACCATAACCTGGTTAAAACCCAACAACAACCCTAGCCTGGTTACAACCCCACAACCCACCTCCCCCCCCCCCCCCCAACAGTTGTATCAGCTGATCAGCTGCAGCCCATTGTTGACGTATTAAGACGGCACCCCACCGACCCACCAGACGGTTGTAGCTCTAACTCAAACATCTCACTCAATGGTTTAGTTTCTCCCACCAGTTATCGCCAACAAACTTGTGCGGGTTCATTACGACTTGAGCATCTTAAATACAACAGTAAGATTAACTCAAAGATTGGCTGATTCATTAGGACGTGAGCATCTTAAATACAACAGTAAGATTAACTTAAAGATTGGCTGATTCATTAGGACGTGAGCATCTTAAATACAACAGTAAGATTAACTCAAAGATTGGCTGATTCATTAGGACGTGAGCATCTTAAATACAACAGTAAGATTAACTCAAAGATTGGCTGATTCATTAGGACGTGAGCATCTTAAATACAACAGTAAGATTAACTTAAAGATTGGCTGATTCATTAGGACGTGAGCATCTTAAATACAACAGTAAGATTAACTCAAAGATTGGCTGATTCATTAGGACGTGAGCATCTTAAATACAACAGTAAGATTAACTCAAAGATTGGCTGATTCATTAGGACGTGAGCATCTTAAATACAACAGTAAGATTAACTTAAAGATTGGCTGATTCATTAGGACGTGAGCATCTTAAATACAACAGTAAGATTAACTCAAAGATTGGCTGATTCATTAGGACGTGAGCATCTTAAATACAACAGTAAGATTAACTCAAAGATTGGCTGATTCATTAGGACGTGAGCATCTTAAATACAACAGTAAGATTAACTTAAAGATTGGCTGATTCATTAGGACGTGAGCATCTTAAATATAACAGTAAGATTAACTCAAAGATTGGCTGATTCATTAGGACGTGAGCATCTTAAATACAACAGTAAGATTAACTCAAAGATTGGCTGATTCATTAGGACGTGAGCATCTTAAATACAACAGTAAGATTAACTCAAAGATTGGCTGATTCATTAGGACATGAGCATCTTAAATACAACAGTAAGATTAACTCAAAGATTGGGCAAATACCAACTCCATTCGAAACTTTGTAAACCGCCAAATGTGTACCGCCTAGATGTTAATCTTGCTGCAGTAAAACAGTGAATGCGTACAGTCTAAATGTGTCTTACTACAGTAAACCATTGAATGTGTACAGTCTAAATGTGTCTTACTACAGTAAACCATTGAATGTGTACAGTCTAAATGTGTCTTACTACAGTAAACCATTGAATGTGTACAGTCTAAATGTGTCTTACTACAGTAAACCATTGAATGTGTACAGTCTAGATGTGTCTTACGCAGTAAACCATTGAATGTGTACCGTCTAGATGTGTCTTACTTCAGTAAACCAGCGACATCAATTAAAACCAGATTTAAAAACTTAACACACAAAAACGTAACCATGTATTCCAGATAATTTCTTTTACAATTTCTTAAAATCTCATTCAATATAGGATTTGTAAATAGTTTGTTTAGGCACACTTTAAATAGAATATGTTATTGTATTATGTTCTGCTATGAAACAAAGTATTACTGGGTATATTATATACTGCGAATGTATCACATACAGGGCGTAAGTATCAGATACGCGCCGATTATACTAAACTGCGATTATATAACACAGGTCGATTATATCACACGCGTGCCTAATATCACACACACGGTGATATAATACGTCGATTTTATTACTCACACACACGGTGATTGTATCACAAACAAGGTTATCATATCACACATCTAATTATAACTTACGGTGATTATATTACACGCAAACGTCAATTGTATTACACACATGGCGGTTATATAACGTGAATGTGAGTGTATCACATAAAGAATTGTAGTTGCTATACTGGTTATATTACAATATCACAGCCGCCTCCACCAGTACCAGACGGGCTACCTTATATCTAGATGTCCACCAGACTGGCTACCTTATATCTAGATGTCCAGACATTGAACACTGATCGGGCGTATAGTTACCAGAAGGTGGTTGTATCGTGAGAATGGGGGCGGGGATGTTAGGGTGTGCATTTACAATTACAGTATTTAAATCCAGAATGTCACCTATATGGTCAGTATTTAAATCCAGAATGTCACCTATATGGTCAGTATTTAAATCCAGAATGTCACCTATATGGTCAGTATTTAAATCCAGAATGTCACCTATATGGTCAGTATTTAAATCCAGAATGTCACTTATATGGACAGTATTTAAAGCCAGAATGTCACTTATATGGTCAGTATTTAAAGCCAGAATGTCACTTATATGGTCAGTATTTAAATCCAGAATGTCACTCATATGGACAGTATTTAAAGCCAGAATGTCACTTATATGGTCAGTATTTTAATCCAGAATGTCACCTATATGGTCAGTATTTAAATTTAGAATGTCACTAACGTAGTCAGTAGAGAACATTACGGAAGGAAGAAATTTGACATCTTCTAAAAGTAAATTAAAAACATACAACCACTAATATATAACCTCGGTGTACATGTATCATACTTAAAACAGAACTGAAGTTAACGAGCGTACATGTAATATTTTTTTTAATTACTGTAAAAGAAATTATAAAACAAAACATGTTTTGATTGGAATAAAAAAAAGATTAACTTTGACGAATCTATAAACATCAGATATTGTAAAGGTAATAGAAAGGGTGGGAGGTGGGACTAGTACAATAGGTGACACGGTGTTTGAAATTAGCCTTTTGTTCATGGACAAAGCTGAGATGAAAACTTCATGCGATAGAACTTTTAAATTAACCAGGGTTCAATCTAAGGGTTTGTTTAATCTAAGGCTTACATTAACTAGGGTTTATTTAATCTAATGCTTACATTAACTAGGGTTTAGTTAATCTAAGCCGTACATTAACTGGGGTTTATTTAATCTAAGGCTTACATTAACTAGGGTTTATTTAATATAATGCTTACATTAACTAGGATTTATTTAATCTAGGGCTTACATTAAGCAGGGTTTATTTAATCTAATGCTTACATTAAGCAGGGTTAAATCTAAGGATCAATCTATGACAGAGTAATTAAACGTCACACAATAAAACACCCTGTGTATACACATTCATATCAATACAGAGTTGCATGAGGATGATATGCATGACAGATTTAGCATTGATTTTTGTTTTAACATTAGTGAGATATCCACATATTCATTCCAATGTTAGATGTTATAAACTTATATCAGATGTCTGGTGCTAATCATCAAGGATTGTGCACATATTTCATAACGCCAAGAGCAGGGGGGGTAGTTTGTTATTGTTACACATTATGTTTGGTAGGGGGTATTTGTAGAAGCGTGTTAAATAACACTATATTGGGCTCCTGCTGTTCGGAAGGTTAGCTGAATAACACCTTATTCAATGGTGTCTGGGTGTTGGGGGGGGGG